CAGCATGTTTTAATTCAGTGATTCACGCCATGAGTAAAAGCAGAAAAAATGCTGAGATTAGAATTTATTTATAAATGTATATATGTATTTATTTACTTACTTTTGTCCCTTTTTTATCACCAATTAATATAGTTCACCAACCTAACTGTAGATTGATTGCATTTGCCACATCAATACATTATACATTACACATTATATAATAATTAAAAGTCAGAATGATCCGTTTTATAATTAATATCTTAGAACTGTTTTGTCTCATTTTAAATTTAGCTTAAATATTTACCTTATATTTAGGTTAAATAAAATAAATATTTTGTTCATCAAGGATGCATTAAAGGGATCAAAAGTGTCAGTAAAGACATTTATAATGTTATAAAAGATTTGTGTCTCACATGAATGCTGTTCTTTTGAACTTTCTGTTCATCTGTGAATCCTGAAAAATAAAATGTATCACGGTTTCCACAAAAAGATGAAGCAGCACAACTCTTTTCAACATTGATAATAATCAGAAATGTTTCTCGAGCAGCAAATCAGCATATTAGAATGATTTCTGAAGATCATGTGACACTGAAGACTGGAGTAATGATGCTGAAAATACAGCTTTGCATCATAGAAATAAATTACATTTTAATAGATATTCACATAGAAAACAGTTATTTTAAATAGTAATAATATTTCACAGTATTTCTATTTTTACTGTATTTTTAATCAAATAAACCACAACAAAGCATTAAAAAATCTTACTGACCCTAAACTTTTGAATGGCAGTGTATGTAAAAGCATGCATGAAAAAATAAATAAATACATACATACATACATAAATGTGAAACAGTGAGAAATAGTGCAAGAATATGGTCATGGAAAAGTTTCTGAACATTTCTGATTATTTTTATACATTTTCTAGTTATTTTCTTCCTTAAAACATTTCCTAGACTTCATTTCGCTCTTGTATAGAGTGAAAACTGCTCGCTGCAGTTATATCAGATTTGACTGAATCGTTCTGTGGAGTTGGTTCTTTTCAACGATTCATTCAAATCAGCTCAGATATGATTCTGAAAGATTCATTTGAGAACCAGTCTGATTTAGAAATTATCCAGTAATCGTAAACAATAACAAAGGTCATGAAAAAGTCTCAGAAAAAATCTGCAATATAAATATAATACATATGATGTAAAAATCTGGCTAAAATGAGTTATCATTAGTTAATGCACGACATGAACTAACAACGAGCAATGCATTTGTTACAGTATTTATTCATTTTTTGTTAACTGTTCGTTGTTAGTTAATGTTATCTCAGGTCCATTAAATAATATGCTAACACTTTACAATAAGGTTCCATTAGTTAATGCTAGTTAATTAACACGAACAAACAATGAACAATACATTTATTACAGTATTTGTTAAATCTTTGTTAATGTTAGTTAATGAAAATACAGTCGTTCACTCTTAGTTCATGTTAATTCACAGTGCATTAACTAATGTTAACAAGCACAGCTTTTGATTTTAATAATGCATTAGTAAATGTTAGAATTAATATTAACTAAGATTAATAAATACTGTAGAAGTATTGTTCATGCTTAGTTCATGTTACCTAAAGTAGTTACTAATGAACCTTAATGTAAAGTGTTACACACAAATTAACATTAGGAATTGCTTTAGAAGTATTTTTCATTGTTAAATAATGTAGTTAACTAATGTTAAAAAATTGAACCTTGTTGTAAAGTGTTAAAGGGGTCATATGACGTTGCTAAAAAGAACATTATGTTGTGTATTTGGTGTAATGAAATGTGTTTATGCGGTTTAAGGTTAAAAAAACACATTGTTTTCCACATACTGTACATTATTGTTTCTCCTCTATGCCCCGCCTTTCTGAAACGCGTCGATTTTTACAAAGCTCATCGTTCTAAAAAAGCGAGGTGTGCTCTGATTGGCCAGCTAGCCAGTGCGTTGTGATTTGTGCTGCACACATCTGAATATTTGGGTTGAAGTGTTCTGGAACAGTGTTGTAAATACAACTTAACCACTGATTTCTAGTCGTGTCCTCTTTTGGAAGACCAAATAAAGTAGTTTCGCTTTCACAACGAATCACACAGTGTCTTTACGTCATGGCGGCGGCGGCAGCAACAATACTGCGAGGTGTAAAAGCGAGAATAAAATCAGCGAGAATAAAAGTTACGCCTTCTTTCTTTGCGTGACCATTTGGGCATATTTGTGTATTCAGGTTGGTTGGTTTCATCAGTTGTTTGTTTTCTATTTGTGGTTAACTCACAGGTTAATATCGCAGCTGTATTTTCCACATGAAATCTGTTTGTGATTGTGTCGTGCAGCATTTTCACGTACGTGGACAAAACACTCGTCACTGGAAGCTTGTCGAGTCATTCAAGTCATGTCTTGAAATCCACAACCTGATTCCTGCTCTTTCGTTTTTCATTCTCATGCCCAGTGGCACAATATTAGCAGGTAATAATAATATTTCCTCTCCAATCAAAATCGATTTTGTCATCCTGCTCTGGAGAAATGTAATGAACATCACAGATTTAGCTTTATGCAATCATAAATGTAATGCCGTATGAATTATTTGAGGCCAGACTGGAATGATTGTGTGTTTGAGAGAAAGAAACAGAGAGTTTCAAGCAGTTGGGTGTAAATGGGTTTTATAGTCAACAGGCACAGCAGATGCTCTCCGTCCAAAGAAAATGAGCATTAAACCAACAAAAGCAAATTTCTGCACAAGAAAGCAAATGTTTTAAGTACATATTTGGCCAAAAACAAAACAAACCAACTCTATACCACACATGCTCACACCCAAAAAACACGGTTTGGCACAATGCAAAGCCTCTTCTGTTTCCACAAATAAATAAAACCACCAGAACCAATTACCCATCAGAGAAGTGATAAAGAAACATCTAAAGCAAACACAAACACACGAGCACCGGCTGCAGTGGCGTCACGCGCTGGATGTCAGTCTGATTGGCTGTGAGACACGGCTGCCCTGTTTCAGTTTTACACTGCTAACCTGGATTCAGTGTAACCTGCTTCTGTCCACAGCAATGGCAAATCTAGAACGTGGCTGGCTGAGGTTTATAAAATAGCTGTTTAAAGCTTTTTTGCAATCCTCTGTAAGTTATGGGAATCATTTGTGTGCAAATATAAAAATATTACAGTTACTACATTAATCAAGTTCATTTGGTCAAGAACTAGTTCGCCTGCATGAAAGCAAATTGCACAAAATAGATTCTAGTGTCCAGTGACCATAAAAGCCACACAGATGCTACTCACTGTCTTCATAATGTGTGTCAGTGTTATTTGAGCATGATTGAGATACTGTTATAGTTTTTTGTATTTTCCATTTTTATTTTAATTTCAGTTAAGGTTTTAGTAATTAAAAAATTAAAAAATGTCTATACAATAGAGGCAAGAAAGTTTCAAACAAGTCAGATTTGTAATGTTTTTTTAAAGAAGTCTCTATTTGATCAAAAATACAGTAAAAACAGCAAAAATGTGAAATATTATTACAATTTCAAATAGCTGTTTTCTATGTGAATATCTGTTAAACTGTAATTTATTTCTGTGATGCGCAGCTGTATTTTCAGCATCATTACTCCAGTCTTCAGTGTCACATGATCTTCAGAAATCATTCTAATATGCTGATTTGCTGCTCAAGAAACATTTCTGATTATTATCAATGTTGAAAACCGCTGGATGTCAGTCTGATTGGCTGTGAGACACGGCTGCCCTGTTTCAGTTTTACACTGCTAACCTGGATTCAGTGTAACCTGCTTCTGTCCACAGCAATGGCAAATCTAGAACGTGGCTGGCTGAGGTTTATAAAATAGCTGTTTAAAGCTTTTTTGCAATCCTCTGTAAGTTATGGGAATCATTTGTGTGCAAATATAAAAATATTACAGTTACTACATTAATCAAGTTCATTTGGTCAAGAACTAGTTCGCCTGCATGAAAGCAAATTGCACAAAATAGATTCTAGTGTCCAGTGACCATAAAAGCCACACAGATGCTACTCACTGTCTTCATAATGTGTGTCAGTGTTATTTGAGCATGATTGAGATACTGTTATAGTTTTTTGTATTTTCCATTTTTATTTTAATTTCAGTTAAGGTTTTAGTAATTAAAAAATTAAAAAATGTCTATACAATAGAGGCAAGAAAGTTTCAAATAAGTCAGATTTGTAATGTTTTTTTAAAGAAGTCTCTATTTGATCAAAAAATACAGTAAAAACAGCAAAAATTTGAAATATTATTACAATTTCAAATAGCTGGTTTCTATGTGAATATCTGTTAAACTGTAATTTATTTCTGTGATGCGCAGCTGTATTTTCAGCATCATTACTCCAGTCTTCAGTGTCACATGATCTTCAGAAATCATTCTAATATGCTGATTTGCTGCTCAAGAAACATTTCTGATTATTATCAATGTTGAAAACAGTTGTGCTGCACAATATTTCTGTGGAAACTGTGATGCATTTTATTTTTCAGGATTCACAGATCCAAAAGAACAGCATTTATTTGAAATAGAAAACTTTTATAACAATATACATGTCTTTACTGTCACTTTTCATCAATTTAATGCGTGCTTTACTGAATAGAAGTATCAATTTTTTTAATCATACTGACCCCAGACTTTTGAATGATAGCGTATCCACAAAAATATGAAGCAAACTATTTTCAACACTGATAATAATAAGAAATGTTTCTTGAGCAAAATTCAACTTTGCATCACAGGAATAAATGACATTTTAAAATACATTATAATAGAAAGCCGTCACTTTAAATTGTAATATTTCACAATATTTCTTTGTAAAACTAAAAAAATTTTTTTTTTTACATCAATCTAATATTTTACAAACTAAATGAAAATGAGAAAAGTTGCTTTGGCAACTAGCTGAAATAATATTTATATTTTATTTAAGTTAATGTTTATTTTACTTCAAGTCATTTTTTATGTTTTTGATTGTAGTTGACTATAATAACCCGGGTGTGTGAATGTGTTCATGCTGTTTAGTGTACAGTAATGCCATGCAGACTGTAAGACTCTCACACACACACACGGCTGATTTTAGAAGCATCTGTGATCAAATCAGTCAAATCAGAGCATCAAGATAAAAACACTTCTAAGTACAAATACGTAAAAATGGACATTTCCACGGACATTCATCAATAACTCAAGTTTGCTTCCAAAACATTGCATAATTCGATTTTACAGTTCTTGTTCCTGAGCGCTGAAGCTGAAGAACAGTAACGGCAGGTGAACGTGACTCTGGAGCGTTTCTCACGCTCTCTATGAGCTCAGGATGAGCGGACGGCTCTCGTCTGGCTCTCGGCTCTGGAAGGTCGAATGAGCTCGTTCTAAATCCAGCACGACGTCCAGCAGACGAGCGGCGACGGCTCGAGCGCGCTCAGATCGGCTCTGCGCAGACACTAACACACACGGACAGAGAAGAAACACTTTAACATGCATTCTGTGCTGGATGAGTGCGTGTGGCTCTCAGAGCTGCTTTACAGATGAACTCTGACCTGATGACGGCTGACTGGCCTTCAGCGGCTCTTCCTGTTCTGCTGGCTCAACTTCCTGTGTCTCCAGGTACTGCTTCCTGTGTCCCAAACATCAGCAGAGTCAATAGAAGAGCACAGTGAGGATTTCTTCCTTATAGACATTTACGATGGTAACTATGAAATTGCATACTCTAAAATAACTAATATGGGATCTTTTTTTGATGATTGTGGTAATTAATTCATATTAATTACTGTAGCAACATGGCGAATGTCATGATGATTGTCCAAAACATGCGTCATATTTAATAAAATATAAATAACAATAACTAAATAAAAAAAATTATATTTTACAAATAGAAAATAAAGCCTAATTTTAAACAAGGTTATTATCATTAACTAAAACTTGAAACTAAACCATGAAAAACTATTTTATGTTTACTTGAAATAAAGTAAGTGTTAACTGAAATAGAATATTTAGTTTATCTGGAAATGCTAAAATAAGTATAATGGAAACAAAAATTTATATAAATAAACTATACACACTGTAAAAAATTTTTTTGCGATTTTGCGATTTAAACTTTTTTTTTTTAGACATAACTTATTTTTTATAAATTGTCCAGACAACAAGCTGAATGTTGAATGAACTAGTTGTTTCAACTCAAAAACGCATGTTGAAACAACTGCATCACACTGAAAAAAATTAAGATAACAAAAAATGTTAAGGCAGCGGGTTACAAAGTTGACTCAACAAATTGTTTTTTTTACAGTGTAGACATCCTAAAAATAAAAAAATAAAAAATAACAAGACACAACAAAATTACTAAAATTTTAACAAATTAAAATGAAATTGAAAATATAAAATATAGTAGTAAAAAGTAGTAAAACATACTATAACAGTATATCAATGATACTAAAATAACAGATTTTGCAACAATAAAGATGGCATTGCATTTGCTTCGTAGCAATTGATAATAATAATATTAATTAATATTAATTACAAATATTTAATCCACAAGTTCTCATTACTTTAATGTGAAATAAAAATGACATTTCTTCATGACATTCACCCAGCATATTGAGAAATTATAATAAAATACATTTACATTTATGCATTTGGCAGACGTTTTTATCCAAAGTGATTTACATTGCATTCAAGGTACATTAATAACAATAATAATAATAATGATAATAATAATAATGTTTTATTAATCACTGTAGCAACTTGAATGTCATGATGATGGTCCAAAACATGTCTGGGTCCTAGGAATATTAAATTCAATTTCTCATTATTTTAATGTGAAATAAATTTGACAAATATTTCTTCATGACATTCACGCAGACAATGGATATATAAATGTATAATATAATACATTTACATGTATGCATTTGGCAGATGCTTTTATCCAAAGTGACTTACACTGCACTGAATATATAATAATAATAATAATAATAATGTTTTAATAATGACGCTACTCCTTGATTTCTGTCATTACAGCAGCGACACCTGCTGGACATTTACAGTATTTCAGCATCACAGGAGTCACAGTGATCAGGTAAAGACGCTCACACACCTGAGTTTGTCTCGGCCCTGCAGCAGCTCTTTATAAATGATCTGTGTTTCAGCATCAGGATCTAACGGGTCGCTCCAGTCGCCCAGAGTCACGGCCGAATGAGTCCGACTGCAGCCCAACGCTGACACACACACACACACACACACCTGTGAGTAACACAACCTCCGCTCTTTCTCTCAACAATCACATCTAATGTTACTGATCTTGACTGTGCTATGACAAAATACATGCAGCATTATTTCAGTGTGCTTTATGGTCATGAGAAATAATGAAGCATTGCAACTGAAAGCCATCCATAAACACCTAATAGTCCACTGTGATCTAATCAGTCTGAGGTCACTGTTAAGTACTGTCACACACACACACACACACCTGTGCGGTCGGGCTGAAGGCAGCAGGTCCATTTGTTTCCTCGATGAGCTCCGGGGTGAAACGACGGCAGCATGTGCTCATTATAAATACTGACCTTCCTGATGGCCGACAGCCACTGATTGAGCTCATTTACATTCTGAAACACACACACACACACACACACACACATTACGTTAAACTGTAAATACTGAATATGCTGCACAGCAAGGATGCAGTTTGGGGTCAGTAAGATTTTTGTTAAAGAGATTAATACTTTTATTCATCAATGATGCATTAAATTGATCAAAAGTGACAGTAAAGACATTTATAGTGTTACAAAAGATTTCTATTTCAAATAAATGCTGTTCTTTTGAACTTTCTGTTCATCTGTGAATCCTGAAAAATAAAATGTATCACAGTTTCCACAAAAATATTGTGCAGCACAACTGTTTTCGACATTGATAATAATCAGAAATGTTTCTTGAGCAGCAAATCAGCATATTAGAATGATTTCTGAAGATCATGTGACACTGAAGACTGGAGTAATGATGCTGAAAATTCAGCTGCGCATCACAGAAATACATTACAGTTTAACAGATATTCACATAGACAACAGCTCTTATAAATTATAATAATATTTCACATTTATTCATTTTTTTGATCAAATAAATGAAGCCTTGGTGAGCAAAAGAGACATTTTTAGAAGAAATATATACAATCTCTCCACCTTTACTAAATCTCATGTCAACGCATATATTTGCTGAACGTGAACAGTTTTTCTTTGTCATTAGATAATCATGATTAATATATGTATGTGATGTGTATATATATATATATAATTATTATTATTACATTTCATACAGTTGACTGTTGACAAACATGATGCAGAGACAAACAAATGCCTCTGTAGGAGGTTTTGTCTCATATTTATATCATAATAAGAGCATAGAATTTAGCAGGGACGCTAGGGATACCAATACTAAATTGTCCCTAGCAATAGTTTTGATCAAACAATTAAATACCGTTTGATCAAAACGGAATTACTGTTGTTATAATTTCGGCCGCATCTGAAATAGGTCATGCATTTGATATCAGCTGAGAGGTTAGAGTAGATGAGCTAGAAAAGTACGTCCTTGAAAGTGAGCTTTTCGAATCTCCGAATCAGTTAAAACATTGCGTCGCAAAATGATTCGAAGCTCTCCAATCGGATCACGTATCGCGAATCATTTGATTCAGATCCGGACTTCGGAGAGCGTATCGCAAATCTTTTTTTCTGATTCTTTCTTTGTTTGTTTTTTTATTAAACAGTACAAAACATCAAATCATTAAGGCAGTACAGTTATAAAAACCACACACAGAAAAAAGAAAGACAGAAAGTATACACAGATACAAATCCCTTAAAGGGATAGTTTGTGTGTGTGTGTGTGTGTGTGAGGACATTTTGGCTGGTCCTCACTTTCTGAGAGCCCTTTAAAGGCCTGTTTGAGGGTCAAGACTTGGTTTTAGGAGTCAGGTTATAATTGGGTAAAGGGTAGGTTTAGGGTAAGGAGCTAGAGATTGCATGAATGTCCTCACAAAGATAGCTATGCAGAGTTGTGTGTGTGTGTGTGCATTTTTGTGACATATGAGGACACAAATTTGTATAATGACAAGGGTATGACATAGGTATTACAAGGAGAAGGTGACTTATGAGGACATTACCCCGTGTCCCCAGTTTTCAAAACGCTTCTAAATCATACAGAGTGAGTTTTTTTGAGAAAGTAAAAATGCACAAAGTTTCCTGTAAGGGGTAGGTTTAGGTGTAGGGCAATAGCACATACAGTCTGTACAGTATAAAAACCATTACGCCTATGGAATGTCC